ATTGGGGATTTGTTCCATGGTAGTTTGGCTAGAGGCTAGGGAGTCGATCCCAACGTGATTGAGCGGCTGTTTTGGCCGACATGGAAGATTAGAGGTGTACTTGGAGGATGACTCGAACTGTGGGGATGAGTTATACCAAGATGGGTTTACTAGGCATGGTGTTGTCTGTTCAACCCATGAAGGAGGGTCGAGCCTAGTGGGGTTTGCGGATGTAGGTTATCAGTGATGGTGGTTTGGGTAGGATCACTGATGGTGGCTGATGTTTGCAACTGCTGGTTTGGGATTGTCTGAGTACTAGGGTCGAGCATGAGTGGTGGATCAATTGGGTAAAGTGTTTTTAAAGATGGATCGGTTGGGTTTAAGGTTAAGCCATCCATTAAGGACAACTAAATATGGGATGATTGTGGATCTTTATTTGAGCTTCTAGGGTTAGGGTTGATAGGTTTTGCATGGAGCTCACTAGGACGCAAAAGAGATTCTCAGGCACCTAGTCATGAGTGAAGTCAAGTGAATAAAACTGGTTTACCTACTCTTGAAGAGTTTGATTTTCAGCCTAGATGTTTGCGTTCTCAATCTCCAAAGCTACCACTTTATCTAAATTTTGTTGCATCATGGTCATTAAAGGCTCGATTTTTGTCGAGAGATCTGTAAGAGCATTGTCTGTTGTCTGAGTCATGATTGATTTTTTTGTGGAGCAGAGTGTTGAGGGAATGTTGATTGCTAGAGGCCCCACGGTGGGCGCCAAACTATAAACATCAAAATCTATGGTTGCGGAAGTAAGGTCTAATCTCATGAGGTTAAGGCTGTTAACAATCTACTACACTTGCACACGCATAAAGGAACCGACATGAAACGAATGAAAAAAATTGGGGTGGTGTTTGTCGTAGACGCTTTGACACTCAAGTCAATGAAGATGATGAAGGTTTTTTAGTGGGGGTTAAGGGAAATGAAGGATTACTAGTAGCTTAGCAGGGAACTAAGACCAGGGGTCAGAGTATAGCTCTAAAGAGTGAGAGCTAAGCGGTTAGAAGGTGTAATCTTTGATACTTAAACAGTGGGATGACCCCTATTTATATAGTAGTTTTGGGATGTTCATATCCTAGTGGGATTCGGAATCCCCATAGGAGGAGATCTAATGAATCAGGAAATCCTTGATTCACTTACCTCATTAGCAGCAAGAGTCCTAATTCATCCAAGATACGGAATCTTGGATGGATCAGGATAGAACCGAAGAGGAAAAATCCTACTTACCTTGTTTTGGAGGCCTAAGAGCATCTCCAAATGACTCTTTATATGACCAAGACTCTTTATATGACCAAAACTCTTTATTATAAAGAGTTTATCCATAAAAATAAGAGTCCAACAGACTCTTTATCTTTAAAATATAAATTAGAGAGTGAGTTTGACTCTCCACATTTAAAGAGTCAAATTTCACTCTCTATCCTAATTTTAATTAATAAATTACAAGTATTACAAGTTCATATGCATTTTATTTATTAATTATCTCTCCCATTAAGTCTCTTTCTTAAAAATAAAGAGCATCTTCATTAAATTTAAAGAGTCTATTGGATTTGAATAAAAATTGTGTTATTTATATTTAAAAATTAATGAAGATACTCTTGATTTATATGAAAGATACTCTTTAAAATAAAGAGCACTATTGGAGATGCACTAACCTTTGGTGGGCTATTGCTGAAGCCCATTCTGAAAGGTCGTTGAACTTGGGCCCGAGTCATGAAACTCGACGCTGACCCAACTAGAGTTGGACCATGTCCTTAGGCCTTAATGATAGAAGATGCAGGTTTGGACCTGATAGAGACCTAGGTGATTATTGACCCCCATAACCTCCACTTAAGCTTATAAATTAATTATAACAATAATAATTATATTACTATTTTTTACGTCCAATTTAGTATATGGTTGTCATTTTATTCATTATTATTATTATAATTTTATTTATTTTCAATTTACAATATGATTTGAATAAAATCTCAAGTAATCTCGTCAAAATAACTAGCCTTCCAACTAATAAACGAGAGAATATTTTAGCATGAATATACGACTAGCAATATTTACAAGTGTTTGTTGAAAAATAACACGTTCCAATAATTTTTATAAAAGTAATCATAAATTGCTTTAGTTCATATTTGTGATACGTTAGGAGTTAATTGACTTGAAGAAATATAAATTTGAAAAGCATCAGAACTTAACCAAAATGACCCTTAATATATAGTTTTATTTATTTATTTTCTTTTAAATAAAAGAACTAAATTATATAAACTTAGAATTATGATTAAGGAAACTATCCTTTTATTGATCTATGCTTCATGAAAATAAATAAATAGAAATATAGAATACACAACAACAAGAAGAGTATCTATAGACAAGTGACTATATGAGTTAATGATGTTATCCACTCAAGTGTGATATAATAACAAAAATCTTCTTTAAGGTTTTCAAAATAACATAAATTTCTCTACTCTTAACGAACGGTTAGTGAACCGTTAAAATTACATTTTTATGAATTAATAGATATTATTAAATTGTTACTCTACCATTTATTTTAACACCTAAAACTTAATGACATGTTATTTCTAAAACCTTAAGAAATTTTTTATTATTATATCATACGTCAAAGAGATTAATTTCATTAACTCTATATAATAATGTATAATGTAGCCTCTCCAAATGTTTGTCTGTTACTTTTCCAAGTTCTTAAACAATTTTTCTTCTTTTAAATTTTTGTTAAATTAAGATTAAGTATGCTATAAATGGTGTGATTTACACACTAAATTGATTAACCCATGTCAAACTAATTTAATTTAGATTGATATGATTTGACTCGGGTTATTAGTCATATCAGTTATTACTTAATATGCCAATCAAAATTGAATCAAAGTGAATATTCCGCAATCCTACTTACTGGCAGATTAAATAAAACATGAAAAGAAAATTGTTTAACAAACATGAGCATGTCATTAGTTAAACAATAATACTATATTTACAAAGAAATCTTACAAAGATATCCATAGTCCATACAAAGTGAAGTGACAAAAAATGAATGGAAGAATGAAACAAAAAGTCAAAGTCATTATATTCACTATTCCATTCATTTTTTATCACATAACTCTGTATGGAGATTTTTCTAAGATTTCTTTGTAAGTATAATATTACTCTTAGTTAAATATAAACTTCGGCTATAAAATCAATAATTACCAAAACTTTTTATCATTTTTCTCAGGAATTTTTAATAACAATAAAGATTAGCTGGCTCATAATCAAATCTTACAAACTTTCTTTCACAACTCCGACTTGACAGTTCATAATTAGACAGATAAAACCCATTGCGAGCTATCACGTCAGAATTGTGAGAAAAATTTTATAAGATTGAATTATAAGTGTAATATTACCCATTTAATAACTCCCCACGTGTTTTGGGCATTTTATAGAATCCTCAATTGGTTCTAAAAATGCAACCTTAACCTTTAACTTCATTAAAATTTTCTATTAAAGTTAACTTATAAATGGGTATTAGATATTTTTATTTTTAAAGAAGGGTACTTTTGATATTTCAACTTTCCTGCGAAGCCCTGTGTCTCATTTCCTGTTTCTTTTTCCTCTTTCCCCATCCCCTCTTCTCCCCTTCTCACTCCCTTTTTTTCTTTTTTCCTTTTTCCTTTTCTTCCCTTCTCACTGCCGAACCAAATTGACTTACTATAGTGGTGCGAAAGTTTAAGGCCTCAAGGGTAGAGGCAAGGAATAGCCTCTATCGACGCCAAGGAGCCAAATCTAGCCTTTATCAATGTTGTGAGGTCAACTTTGGTCTCAAAGTTTAATTGTTGGAGGTTGGTTTTAGCCTCTAACAATGTTGTAAGGTAGGTCATCAATAAAAACATAAAAAAATGTTGTAAGGTCGAATTCAACCTCGAGCTGCTATCGAGAGACTTTATCTAGTCTCTAGTGACACTGTCATGAGGCCTAGCCATGTCATTAGTCTTTTGTGATTGTCCCAGGGCCTTAAGCAATTGCCATGAAGCCATTATAGGCGAAAATAATGGCAAAACGACGGTTGCAGTTTGATTATTTATGGTCTAAGTTGAATAAGAGATAAAACTGTCATTCTGGTAAGTAATAGGTTTTCATTAACAAAATTAAAAGAAACGAAGATTTGAATAGAATTGAGTAGCATTTTTTAACAAACGAGAGTCACTTAACACATGTGGGTGGGGCTTTACATAATTTTCTTTTTCTTAAAACCCTTTAAACACACCCTAAGTTATGATATAATAACAAATATCTTACACACCCCTAAGATATTATATAAGAACAATATTTATTAAGTTTTATGAAACAACAAAAAATTCACTACTGTTAATACACTGTTAGTTAGCCATTAAATATTGTTATGAGTTAATTAGTATTATCAATCTATTTATTTTAAGACTTCAAACTTTGGGTCATTAATATCTAATTATCTAAGAGTAAAGGAATTTTTCCCACCCAAATAATGGTTTAATGACACTTTTCTACCCATAGACTTTTAAAATCCTAATTTACTATCAAAATATGTATTCCATTTTCGATTATGACATCGTTACGACCTCAAATCACCACCATTCTCTTCCTTGATTATCACTCACCAAAACCCTTCAAACCGTACTCCCGTCAATTGTTGGCAATTGAGTGATTAGAGTTTATGTAGCGGTTCCTCCCATCAAATTCTGATCAATTTCAACCACCAAAATTCAACCTTTCACCACTAAAAGACTTATCAATCTCCCTTTTTCAAAAACTCTAACTGTTTAGACTAAGTTTGCTCTCTCTTTATTATTGAAATATAAATTTAGATAGTAAAATAGTATTTTAAAAGTCTATGTTGAGAAAATACCATTAATGATTATTTGGGTGGAAAAAAGTTGTTAACTCAATTATCTAATTACAAAATAAATATAAATAAATAACACAAAAATAAAAATAAAAAATAGAACCAATGACAAATTCGCTCGCCAGAAAAACCCTAGGGGTTTTACAGCACAGTAGAGAGCAGAACGCTCTCCCTCTCTCGCATCGTTCAAACGATAACTCAAAACTCGGAAAAATCCTCTCTTTTACCTTTCATTTTCTAATGGCATGAGCTTCTTATCTTCCTATCTTTCTTCTCTTTCCTTTTCTTCTCTAATGGCTGTTTCTTCTACTTTCCGTTTCTCTTCTGCCATTCTCCGCCCCCACCGCCATCACCGCTACTCCCTCTTTCTTCCCCTCTCCTCCCGCCGCTTCCTCTCCCTCCCCCCCTCTCCTCCTCCGCTTCCCCTCTCTCGTTCCCGCATCCTCTCCAAAGATAAAGATAAAGACTCAAAAACTAGCATCGCCGTTGTCGACAATGACTCGGGTCGGGTCCTGACCGTGGAGCTTCACGAGGAGATGACTGTGTCCTACATCACTTACTCTATGTCCGTTTTGCTCGGACGTGCTTTGCCTGATGTTAGAGACGGGTTAAAGCCTGTGCATAGGAGGATTTTGTAAGTAGTGGCTCACTGAGGACTTTAATCCAACACTTGGTGAACTATTTTAACTTGTATGAGTGTTTGTAATTTTTTTTTTTTTTTAATGATTTTCGGGATTTTGCTTTGTAAATAATCTGGGGTTTTGTTTTTTAAATTTAATGGCTACGGGTGCTTTTTAAACTTTTGTCATTTTCATTGCTTGTTTATTGTGGGTTAAAAGATACAGAGATAATCAATGTTTAACCACTTGATAAACACATTCAAGCACCTTGCAAAACCGTGTTCAAATACTTTCAAACGCATGCGGGCAATGTTAACATGTGTTTCTGTATTTATAGCACTTGTAATTTGTTTTCTTGGTATTTTGACAATTATATGGGGGTTTGTTTTGTTACAATTTGTGACTGCTTTTTACTTTCAAATTGCTAGTGTTACCTTAAATCTTTTTCATTTCTGTTGCTTGTTTATTATGGGTCAAAACAAACAAAGAAAAATAATGGTGTCGACTCAATGAATCGTACCCCAATTAGAAACCTGTCGTTAGGATGTTACAATCTATGGTTTTGATCTTGTGTTTGTCTCTCTAAACTTAATGTATGATTTTTTTTTGTCAACATATTAATAAAAATGTTAGTTTCTTTTTTCTGAATTTTGCCACAGATTTGCAATGCATGAGTTGGGCCTTTCATCCAGAAAACCTTTCAAAAAATGTGCTAGAGTTGTTGGGGAGGTGAGTTGTTGGGGAGGTTGGAATTAGTACTAGTGAACTGACTACCATTGATTTTGCTAACATTATTTCATTTGCATTTTTTAAATATTAATAAGCTTTTGTTCTTTGATTCCAGGTCTTAGGTAAATTTCATCCACATGGAGATAATGCTGTTTATGAGTCCTTGGTTCGAATGGCACAGGTAAATGAAGAATTTTGTTTATGGTACCATTTTGGGAGATATTCAAAAAGACATTTTTGTATATTAATCTCATTTCAATATGATTGCAGTGTGTTATAAAAAAAGTGATTAAATCTAAACTTTTTACGTGAGGTGCAAAACTTCTTAGCATTTAAAGTCCCACATTCTAATATAATTTTGTAATATGTGTTTGATAGTGAAATTGCTATGCCTTGAAGTTTAGTTGCCTTGGTGGTGCTTTTATATCTCTTTTCCAATTTTATTTAAAGGATTTGTTTGTCTATGACTAATATTACTTCTTTCGTATTCTCTTTTAGGGGATGTATATGTAGATAATTTTAATATTTACTCCTTTCTCTCATTTATGTAAAATTCACCGGATGATCTTTCTTGCAGGATTTCTCTTTAAGGTATCCATTAATTCAAGGGCATGGGAATTTTGGTTCGATTGATGCAGATCCTCCTGCTGCCATGCGTTATACTGAGTGCAGACTGGATGTATGTATTATAATTTAATGCTTGTTTGAACTTATGTTGTTCTGCTTGGATGAATTTTCTTAACTGAAGATGTTTTTTCTTTAACTGGAATAATGTATGATTTGATAAATTGTATCCAAAATTCATTGTGTGCATCAAGGAGATTATAGTCATATGTTACAATGTTGAATAGTTGGGGAACTCATGAGACATAATACCCAAATAGCTGGCTCTTTGGAATTCGAACCTTCTGACTTCCTGGTTTGGAAGCCAAGGTCGTAACTGTCTGACCCACCTATTGAGTTTAGGAGCTTCTAAGTATTCTCCACTTAACTCCCACTTTAGAGTTTCTTGTTGAATTATCCTAGTAAAAAACTTTCTTCCATTCCATCAAAGATATCTTTATTTTATTTTATCCTCACTACAAATGTGAGAAGCAAATTTACATTATTTTATTATTAGCTCATTTTTAACTTTGATGGGTTTGTAAATTCATCTTAGTTTTATAGTAGCCACTTCATGAAGAAATGTTATTGAAGGGAATAGAATTAAATCAGTGTTATGGATAAGTCATGATCTTTAACCCACATATACATATATTGAGGTTGGATACATATGATGCATGCTTTGACATCTCAAAGGGGCAGTCTTGCTAAGTGTTGGCTTTTAATGTGTGCTTCATGAGACTGTTGCTTAATATTTAAAATCCTTAAATAGTTAATCATTTCCTCGCACTACAACTTACCTCGAGTTCTACCTTAAAGAAGCATTGCTTCAACCTCTCTCTATAGGTTGATTATTAAAAAACAAATTTTTTGTTCCTGTGAATCACTTTGCTTTATAGTTCTGCCTTTTTTTCTGTAAGTTCTTAAAGATCATTTGTTTTCTTTAATTTTTTGTTGTGCAGCCACTGGCTGAAGCGATGTTGTTGACAGATTTAGAGTTAGATACTGTAAGTGTTATTTCTTGTTTCATAATCATTTATAATCTGCATGCTTTAAATCATCATTCATATATTTATGCATCGTCTTTGATCTGATTGTAGGTAAATTTTGTTCCGAACTTTGATGCATCACAAAAAGAGCCATCACTTTTGCCTGCTCGACTCCCAAATCTGTTATTGAATGGTTCTTCTGGGATTGCGGTGACTTAATCTGACTATTTTTTCCTTAGTTGTACATTTTGTTTGATTTTCATTGTTCTTGCTGCTTTCTCTCATGAACAGTGTTTATTTGAGGTATGAGTAAATTTTGTTGATGTCAGATCATTTTCATTTTACAGGTTGGCATGGCAACCAACATTCCTCCTCATAATCTTGGAGAGTTGGTAGACGTGCTCTGTGCGTTAATTCATAATCCCGAAGCCACAGTAAGTTCCCAAGGTTTTATTCATTGCTTGCTTCCATTGATAATAATAGAAATTGATTTTAGATTTTATTTAGTACATTGGGAATTATTCATTTTTTTTCCTTATAGATTTATTTATCATTAGTGTAGTGTGAAATGCAATTTAATTTGGGTGGGAGTTTTAAAGATATGAAGGGAGGATTATGTGCTATCTTTGTGGATGCTTGGTCCGTTTTGTACATTCAACTTCTTTTTCACATTTAGTAATATACATTCTCAGTTTCCTTATTTAGACTAAAGTGAATTTTTAATCCTGAATAGATTTTTTGTCATGGTGCATAGTCTATTCCTTTGACAATATGAGCTGTATGTAATGGCTTAAGTGTGTTTCATGATGTGTATTTGGCCTGAGAGAAATGGTAGGGTTTTTGGAATAGGGAAGTTCTGATATGAAACTCAATGCTGAGTTTGCTTTGAGAATTTTATTTCCACCATTGTAAGCTCTGATTTATTCCATACACAAGGATCTGTTTTTAAGCTTCATTGATGTATTGAACTTTAGGAACTTATGTCTCCTACTTTTTTCGATTTCCTTTCATTTTTGCTTTTCTTGAAAAAGACCCATGTATTAGGATAGTGCGCCCCTCTCTCTCCCACGTTTTCTTTATTTGGTTCTTTATGATTCTACTTGCTATATAAGACTTGTTATTTTGGTTAATGTTATTGTTACTGTTATTAATAGTGGTAATAAATGTTGGTTTTCACATTGTTCCGCTCTCTATTAGTTGCAAGAATTGTTGGAATACATGCCTGGGCCTGATTTTCCAACTGGAGGGCTTATTATGGGAAATCTTGGGTAAGTTTTTATTCTTTATGGTTTTGGTAATTTATATTATTTCTCTCTCTCGATTTATATGCTAAAGTGACTTCTCTAATTAAAAGTCAAAGCCAGACCTTATAAATAACATTACAAACTTCTTAAAGCACTAATTTATTATCAGTCTTTGCTTACCAATTCCTAATCATCTAATTCCATCTACCTTACTCCCTAAATGTAATGTTCATGGTTGGAGGCTTGAAGTGCCATCTGAGTGCATTTCAGTATACAGGCACACCCATGTGGGAAGTGATTTATTTGGCATTGTTTTAAGCATGACAATCACTGTTTTTCCTTGCATATTGACTATATAACATTCAATGCAATTATAAACTATATCAATATTTCCACTGCAATTTATACAAACTGTTGGTAATATCATTATTTTTTGTCAGTTCAACCAATGTAGGGTCAAATATAAAATCAAATTATTATTATACATAGAAAACAATAGAGCCAGGATTAAAGGGTTGTTTAGGAGCATCATTTGTTAATATATTCAAAAAAAAGGAAGGTAGTTGTATTCCACTATGTCATGGCTCTATTAGACATAGCTAATAGGTATGACACATGAAGCTTCCTCATATTTGTCTCTGAAAGTGTGTAAATAGAGAGAAAGAGAAGAAGCATGTCAACCAGCCAGTGAGTATTCCAGGTTTAATTTGGACATCAAATCATGCTTATGATTTCCATCAAACATTGCGCTTGAGTTTAAATATTGTTTAAAACATATTCTTTCAACGTAGTATTGGCTTATTTAAATCGTGAAATTGTTTTGTGATTAATGTCCTGAGATTTAATCGTTTTTTCAAGGATCCTAGATGCATATCGAACTGGGAGAGGACGTATTGTTGTAAGAGGAAAAACTGAGGTTGAATTGCTTGACTCTAAGACAAAGAGAATGGCAATTATTATAAAAGAGGTAAATATTTTGGTTTTCCTGAAGGGTTTTGACAGATGTGTATTGCTTTACAAATTGGCATTTAAATGTATTGTTTATTTTTCTTCCTAATGAAATAGATTCCTTACCAAACCAACAAATCCTCGCTGGTGGAGAAGATAGCTGATCTTGTTGAGACAAGGGTAAATGTATTTAATTTGTATTTCTCTTTGTATTTGTCTTCATCAAAAGCAGCATGGGTAATGGTTAACTTGCATGTATTGTTTTACTTTATTCAACAGAGGTTAGAGGGCATCAGTGATATTCGAGATGAAAGTGATCGTTCTGGAATGCGTATAGTCATCGAGGTATGATAATATCAATTAATATGCTCTTCTTAACATCTTCTTAACATTTTCTAGTTGCTTCGTATAACCATTCTTTACGATTTCTACTCTGCTGAATTATCTTCGACTGAAAGAACTCTAATTAATTAAATTATCTAATCCCTACAGCTAAAACGAGGAGCTGACTCATCAATCGTTTTAAACAATCTTTATCGTCTGACTCCTCTACAGTCCAGTTTTAGTTGCAACACAGTGTGGTGAGTAGTTTCTTTTCTACCATAAAAACTATGAAAAGAAATAAATTATGTTGAAGTCTGATAGTAGTTTCTAAAACAAGGTTCAAAAATCTTACTCAGTATTAAAATACTTGCTTGCATAATATATTTGTGAGTGTAAGCAAAAGCTTAAATGTTAATTGATTTGGAACAAGAAAAGAAAAAAGAGAGAAAATAAGGCAAGAAAATAGAAAGAGAAAAGAAATAACACGGATAGATGGAATTTGGAGGAGAAAACAACTCATCCATTAGATTGTTTCTATAATCAATTTGTATTCAATAAGAATAAAACATATGCCTTATAAACAGGAGTTAAGTATTAAGTTAAAGAAGATCAGAATCTACTCCAAAGTATAGTCTGATTTAAATAAGTGATATCTCTAAAACCCAAAACCTTGATTATTCCCTAAACTAGTTAATAAAACCTAGGTTCTTGATTGTTCATGAAGAGTATGATAGAGGTTCTTGATTTTTTTATTTTTTTATCAAGAGTGATATTTTGGGATCAATTGCTGTCCAAATTTTTAAATTGAATTTCCCTAAATCATTCTAAATATCTTTTTCTAGATCTAGATTATCTAGTGAATGTGTTAGTGATAAATGGAGAGAAAGGATCTAAACCATGTTCTAATAATGTAGTTGAAGCTCTTTGGAAAAATCATTTTTCTCATAAATGTCTGATACCTAAGTGAAGGATTTGTGCATGTTCAGTTTTCTTTATTTATAACTTGGCTTAATCTCATAAAATAAATGTTCTTGTATTCTTAACAATGACATACATGTTTTAACCCTCAGGTGGCTTATGTTTGTACAGCTGTGCATCTAATGTTGAATTTTTTTCTTTTCATTCTTTTGTTCTGGAATATTACAAATTCAAAATGTGTGATTACTGACTCTTGGGTCACAAGTCATGTCTTTGAGCTTCACATTATCTTATTGTGCATGTGAAAATTATGACTGGAAAAAATAAAAGCATAAAACTATTCTTCATCCAGTATGGGTTAATTGTTTATCCATGGAGATGATGTGGAGGATTAAGAAGTGTTTGAAAAGTTATCTATGTTAAAATATATCCAATAGGATATAGAACTTCCTTATATATTGCACATTCTGATGTAGTTCTTGCTTTATTACAGTATACTTGATGGACAACCTAAACAGATGGGTCTGAAAGATGTACTTCAGGTGATTGCTTTTCTTATGTTTCTTCACATCTCTCTCGAACTTTCAAGTGTAGTTTTACTTTGTATTTTTGTGTTTTCTAGTGATAAAATTTCTTGTAATTTCACAGTTTTGCATTGTTTTCTTTTGTCTCGTCAGGCTTTCTTAGATTTTAGATGTTCTGTTATTGAAAGACGTGCTAGGTTCAAGCTTTCACAATTGCAAGATAGAAGGCATATTGTTGAGGTATGTTATGGTTTTTGTTTAAGTTTACTTATATGACTATGCAAGATGTTTGAGGGTCTCATCATCTTCAGTGCTCTTCCTCGTATGCTTATGTGATGCATATGTGGGCTGGCTGGTTGGTTTGTTCTCCAACACTTAAGCGATGTTCGTCGCTTTACCTGGTTGAAGTGATTTTATTTTCTCATCACTGGTGAAGTTTTTCATGTTCTTATTTAAGTGTATAGGCCCTCAAAAACAAAATATGTTGGTCTGATTTGCATTATATAATGGTTTGCATCTGTTACATATGTATCATCAGGGCATCATGGTGGGGCTTGATAATTTGAATGGAGTGATTAGTATAATTACGGAAAGTTCAAGCACTGCATCTATAGCTGATACTCTAAGGAATGGTAGGTTCTCCTAATAAGCTTCATGCCTTTTCATATTGCCTTATGGTATCCTTCTTTTCTAAGTTTTTATTGTGGTATTTTATGTCTAGTAGAATGTGTTTTTTTGGTTCTTCTTCGGTTTAGGACCTTCTGATTTTGTATATCTTTTTATTAGTCAACCCTCTTTCATGAAACATTAAGAAGAATATCCTATCATGATAGCTGCTTTGGAGAGAATTTTGTTACATACTATATTTTTTATATTATTTAATGCAGAATTCAAACTATCGGAGAAACAAGCTGAAGCTATATTGGACATGAACCTCAGAAGACTTTCCATGCTTGAGGTGCATATAATTCTGCTGATGACAATTTATTTTCTATTTTCTCTATCAAATTTTTTTTATTATAGTTTCACAAATAATACCATCTGAAGAAGATTCTGTTCTTGTTATTGGTCAGAAAAACAAGTTTGTCAATGAGAGTAAAACTTTGACAGAAAAAATTATGAAGCTGCAGGAACTACTGTCAAGCAAGAAAAATATACTACAGGTAACATATCTTTGAGTAATTAGAAGTAGTCTTTAGTAGATTTACAAATTTACGGAGCTTCTTCTAATTCTAGAGTCAAGTCACCTTTATTCTCAATTTGTTTCCCTTTCCTTCTCCTCCTTTTTCATATGTAAAACTTAGATGCAAAACAATTTCAGTGTTATAATTTTTCTGGTATGCTTGCTCATAGGATCTGTCCGTCCAGTCAGATTCTAGTTCCACTTCAGTGCTTGTTGACATGTTATTTGCTATTATATTTGTATGTCTCCAGTCTATGCATATGATATTGTTGTTAGCTCTGTGAGACCTTCATTAATCAAATGTTGTTATGATTAATAGAATTTTGTTTTATTAAGACAAAGTAGCATAAAAACTCCACTAGAGAGAAAATAAGGCAAGAAAATAGAAAGAGAAAAGAAATAACACGGATAGATGGAATTTGGAGGAGAAAACAACTCATCCATTAGATTGTTTCTATAATCAATTTGTATTCAATAAGAATAAAACATATGCCTTATAAACAGGAGTTAAGTATTAAGTTAAAGAAGATCAGAATCTATTAAGTTAAAGAAGATCAGAATCTACTCCAAAGTATAGTCTGATTTAAATAAGTGATATCTCTAAAACCCAAAACCTTGATTATTCCCTAAACTAGTTAATAAAACCTAGGTTCTTGATTGTTCATGAAGAGTATGATAGAGGTTCTTTGATTTTTTTATTTTTTTATCAAGAGTGATATTTTGGGATCAATTGCTGTCCAAATTTTTAAATTGAATTTCCCTAAATCATTCTAAATATCTTTTTCTAGATCTAGATTATCTAGTGAATGTGGTAGTGATAAATGGAGAGAAAGGATCTAAACCATGTTCTAATAATGTAGTTGAAGCTCTTTGGAAAAATCATTTTTCTCATAAATGTCTGATACCTAAGTGAAGGATTTGTGCATGTTCAGTTTTCTTTATTTATAACTTGGCTTAATCTCATAAAATAAATGTTCTTGTATTCTTAACAATGACATACATGTTTTAACCCTCAGGTGGCTTATGTTTGTACAGCTGTGCATCTAATGTTGAATTTTTTTCTTTTCATTCTTTTGTTCTGGAATATTACAAATTCAAAATGTGTGATTACTGACTCTTGGGTCACAAGTCATGTCTTTGAGCTTCACATTATCTTATTGTGCATGTGAAAATTATGACTGGAAAAAATAAAAGCATAAAACTATTCTTCATCCAGTATGGGTTAATTGTTTATCCATGGAGATGATGTGGAGGATTAAGAAGTGTTTGAAAAGTTATCTATGTTAAAATATATCCAATAGGATATAGAACTTCCTTATATATTGCACATTCTGATGTAGTTCTTGCTTTATTACAGTATACTTGATGGACAACCTAAACAGATGGGTCTGAAAGATGTACTTCAGGTGATTGCTTTTCTTATGTTTCTTCACATCTCTCTCGAACTTTCAAGTGTAGTTTTACTTCGTATTTTTGTGTTTTCTAGTGATAAAATTTCTTGTAATTTCACAGTTTTGCATTGTTTTCTTTTGTCTCGTCAGGCTTTCTTAGATTTTAGATGTTCTGTTATTGAAAGACGTGCTAGGTTCAAGCTTTCACAATTGCAAGATAGAAGGCATATTGTTGAGGTATGTTATGGTTTTTGTTTAAGTTTACTTATATGACTATGCAAGATGTTTGAGGGTCCCATCATCTTCATTGCTCTTCCTCGTATGCTTATGTGATGCATATGTGGGCTGGCTGGTTGGTTTGTTCTCCAACACTTAAGCGATGTTCGTTGCTTTACCTGGTTGAAGTGATTTTATTTTCTCATCACTGGTGAAGTTTTTCATGTTCTTATTTAAGTGTATAGGCTCTCAAAAACAAAATATCTTGGTCTGATTTGCATTATATAATGGTTTGCATCTGTTACATATGTATCATCAGGGCATCATGGTGGGGCTTGATAATTTGAATGGAGTGATTAGTATAATTACGGAAAGTTCAAGCACTGCATCTATAGCTGATACTCTAAGGAATGGTAGGTTCTCCTAATAAGCTTCATGCCTTTTCATATTGCCTTATGGTATCCTTCTTTTCTAAGTTTTTATTGTGGTATTTTATGTCTAGTAGAATGTGTTTTTTTGGTTCTTCTTCGGTTTAGGACCTTCTGATTTTGTATATCTTTTTATTAGTCAACCCTCTTTCATGAAACATTAAGAAGAATATCCTATCATGATAGCTGCTTTGGAGAGAATTTTGTTACATACTATATTTTTTATATTATTTAATGCAGAATTCAAACTATCGGAGAAACAAGCTGAAGCTATATTGGACATGAACCTCAGAAGACTTTCCATGCTTGAGGTGCATATAATTCTGCTGATGACAATTTATTTTCTATTTGCTCAATCAAATTTTTTTTATTATAGTTTCACAAATAATACCATCTGAAGAAGATTCTGTTCTTGTTATTGGTCAGAAAAACAAGTTTGTCAGTGAGAGTAAAACTTTGACAGAAAAAATTATGAAGCTGCAGGAACTACTGTCAAGCAAGAAAAATATACTACAGGTAACATATCTTTGAGTAATTAGAAGTAGTCTTTAGTAGATTTACAAATTTACGGAGCTTCTTCTAATTCTAGAGTCAAGTCACCTTTATTCTCAATTTGTTTCCCTTTCCTTCTCCTCCTTTTTCATATGTAAAACTTAGATGCAAAACAATTTCAGTGTTATAATTTTTCTGGTATGCTTGCTCATAGGATCTGTCCGTCCAGTCAGATTCTAGTTCCACTTCAGTGCTTGTTGACATGTTATTTGCTATTATATTTGTATGTCTCCAGTCTATGCATATGATATTGTTGTTAGCTCTGTGAGACCTTCATTAATCAAATGTTGTTATGATTAATAGAATTTTGTTTTATTAAGACAAAGTAGCATAAAAACTCCCACCTTTGAAATATCATAAACAGTTCTTGTAGGTTGAGCACCCACTTTATTTTCATTTTGAAATTTATGGAAGATTTTTCAACCTTAACCCCAAGCAAAAGAAGCTATGCATATATTGAGGAAATCCTAATATGCTTGGATTGATATCCTTCTATAACAGTGTAGAGTTTGTTTTCTTTTTTTGGAAGAAGATTTGTGAGCCCTTGTCTTACTCTTAAATAGTTAACGTAGAATATCCATGATTCCTTCCCATGAAAATAGATACGGAAATACTTGCTATGGATTTCTCTCTCTTATGTTGATCAAATGTAGTTATCTTAGTTTGGAAAAAAAAAAAAAAGGAATGAAATTTTGTGATGCTACTTTTGTCCATCCTTTGGAAATAAGAAATCTATTCTTCTTATGTGTATTGTACATTTTGACAATATTTTTTTTGATATTCTTACCTCAAACTTTGTACTATTAATTTTTTTACATTTTCATTTTTTTTGTTCATGGTATATTCTGATTCTTACTTTATTGTTTCACTTATTAGTCAATAGAACAAGAAGCAGTGGAGCTGAAGAACAGGTTTTGGAGTCCAAGGAAGTCAATGATAGAAGACTCTGATAGTGGTCTACTTGAAGACATAGATGTGATTCCAAACGAAGAGATGTTACTAGTATGTAACATAATTAGTTAACATTTTCTCGAATGTGTTCTTTGTCCCTATTATGTTTACATCATTTTCAAGATTCTGATCATGTGACTAAAGAATTTACCCCTTTCTTTTTTTTGAATCTAACATATCTGATTTTCAGGCCATTAGCGAAAAGGGTTATGTTAAACGGATGAAACCTAACACTTTCAATCTTCAAAACCGTGGAACGATCGGCAAATCTGTCGGAAAACTAAGATTCAATGATGCAATGTCTGATTTTATTGTTTGTCATGCACATGATCATGTGCTTTACTTCAGGTATATTTATTCTTTCTACTGCTATAGTTGTTACTGTTGTTTGCTGTTTTATATGATTGAGTTTTGCTGTCAGCTCTCTCTTTCCTTTTCTAACATGTATATACTAAGATAAATAAGGCAGAGTATATAGCAACAGGGCAATACCGTAGATAACACAGTCAAAAATTTTAACCAAGCTGTTCTAGTCTGCTGTGTGACTTTGATCTCTGTTATGTCTTCATTTTCTTCCCTTTTTTCTTCGGTTTAAGAAAAATCCTCAAGATGTTCCCTTTTTTTTTTTTTTAATGAGACATGTTATAATTTCGTTAAAATAAAACTAAAAACAAATGGGTGAGCCAGAAGTACACTGATAAGAAGAAACAATAAGCATAAATTCAATTTTTTTCACCATAGAGATTTCCTTCAAGAAGACTGAAAAGATTCTGAAAATTAAGACAAAGCAGCCATCCTATACCTTTGAATAAAGAAAAAAGAAATGATTGCGGGTTGCTTTCTTCGGTTTAAGAAAAATCCTCTAGTTATTCCTTTTTTTTTTTTTTTTTTTTTAATTTTTTATGAGACATGTTATAATTTCATTAAAATAAAACTAAAACCAAATGGGGTGAGCAAGAAACAATAAGCATAAATTCAATTTTTTTCACCATAGAGATTTCCTTGAAGAAGACTGAAAAGATTCTGAAAATTAAGAAAAAGCAGCCATCCAATACCTTTGAATAAAGAAAAAGAAATGATTACAGGTTGCTTCTGATCCTGCTAAGTTTATGAAAAGAGAGGGATGGGATATATAATCTTTCTTTTTCCCAATTGCTAGCAGAACCTCTCCCAACCATGAGAAAATATTTTTTATCTATCTTTTTATGATAGGAAACACTGAGTATATTGAAACTGAGAAAAAAAGTTAGAATGTCAGACCAAGAGTCAGCTACAAGAATGCTAGATCTTTACCAAAACATGTCAGAAACTTTGTGTAATCTGTGCAATATGAACACCCAATAGAGAGAAAGATAGCAACTGAAAATAAAGCCAAAAAAAAGTAGTACACATCAACATAAAACCCTAGCCAACTATGATAAATGAAGAAAATGAGGTATCCTAAAAATCTTCTGCTATAGATGCCCAACAAGCAGCAAAAAATCTGGTTTTCTCCCACTAAACACTCGGCATTTTCTCCTTTACTCTCTTCAAAGATTCGGCTATTTATTTCACGCCAAATCACCCTCAAAAGAGCTAGATCTGCACATTTTCTATGGTTTCTCTAAATTTCTTTCTGTGAAAATGAATCTTCCACAGGTTGTTCACTGACCTCAATACTGACAATTGTGTTCAAACCTGAACTCTCCGGATTAGTGTTTGGTCTTAAAGATTCTCCTTATCTTTAACTCTATCTACCATTTGTAGTTGATTCACATTCAACATTTCTCTTAGGTTCTCCGAAATCACCTTGATTACTTTTCTCTTTGCTTTGTATGACAAGAGTCTAGTGCATATTTTGTGTACTGAAGGGCTTTCGTAGACAAAGATTTAAATATTTTGAGTACTTCGACGCTTTTTATTGTTTGGCCTTATTCACTGCTTATTGGAGCTTCACGTCAAGATGAGTATCTCGTGAGGTTTAAACACAGTGATATAGAAATTTGAGATTCATGAAATCCATTTGATCTTAAGATGATCACTTGGAAGAGTATTGAGAAAGGAAGTACTCAGAACATATTCAAATAAGTTATAATTGACGACTAAATTATTATCTCTTCAATCTTCTTTCTCTTTCTTTCTTTTCCCTTCTTGTTGTTTAATGGTTTATCATGTGTTTTTACTTTTGGTGTAAACTATGATGAGACACAGATCAAGGCATTGATTTATGTGCCACATAGAAAGCAACACAGTCATAAAGGGTTCTTACAAAGAGAAAAAATAAATGATAAGAGGAAGATATAATAGAGAGAAGAACTCATGATAATTATTTTATACTTTCTTGAGTTATTTATTTCGTGATGATTTTATTCTAGGACTAATTGTGGCGAGATGACGGTGGTCGGGTTGTATCATAGGAAATAATTGTGAGAACTAGGTGTGATGCAGAGGACTGTTTGGGTATTTTACCTAAAGATGTCCATAATCTCTTGTTACTCACAAAAACAAATCATGGGACGGTTACTTTGGATATTGCCCTGACATTCGGTATAGTTTTTTCCTAGAAACTGTCTTGTACTACTGATATGCAAATTGGTTTCATTTCTGGTCCAACCTTTAAGGTTATTATGCATGCCCAATGATCTGGTGCACCACTGGTTTCATTTTTAACCAATAAAAGGTTTTGGTTGTGGCATGACTAACATATTTCTTTTACAGTGATAGGGGAATAGTGTACTCGGCGCGTGCATATAAAATTCCTGAATGTACCAGGAATGCTGCTGGGACTCCACTGGTTCAGGTACATTATTTTATTGATTCTTTCATATTATTATCTGTGCCAATTAACATTTCCTGAACTGTTATCATGGTGGAGACAGATCTTATCTTTATCTGATGGTGAGAGAATAACTTCCATCATTCCTGTGAGTGAGTTTGTCGAAGATCAGTTTCTCGTTATGCTTACAGTGAATGGCTACATCAAGAAAGTGTCTTTAAATTCTTTCTCGGCCATACGTTCAACCGGAATCATAGCGATTCAATTGGTCTGTCCTCTTCTAGTCTGCTTTTGTGTTTAGTTTTGGCCTAATTTTCAATAAATTAATCCCTTTACATTAATTTACTAGGTTCCTGGTGATGAGCTGAAATGGGTCCGTTGTTGCACAAATGATGACCTTGTGGCCATGGCTTCACAAAATGGAATGGTCATTCTAAGTTCCTGTGGCATTGTAAGTTATCTTATACTATTCTTTTTCATCTATAAATTCTTTTCAAAACCTATATCATAGTTGCTAGATTTACTCTGGGCCATTTCAGCAGCTTGAACATGTGTAATTAAAGAATTATTTTTATTTATGTTTTTCAATATTCCAATTTCGTCTTTATGTTTTGTTCTAAGTGGCAAGGTTGAGTGAAATAGTGGAAAGAGAAAATATTTAATGGGGATAATGTTATAATGTGAGAGATTAGTCATTGCTTTAGTCATTATATGAATGGGGACAAGAAGGCAAGGATAGACATGATATAATATTTTTATTAACATTTGATTGTTTTCATGTTGTGATTTAGATTCGATCACTAAGCAGAAATACTAGGGGTGCAGTGGCCATGAGACTGAAAAATGGGGACAAGATGGCAAGCATTGACATAATACCTGCATCCATGCAGAAAGACTTGGAGAGGGCGTCAGGAGATTCTCGGAGCAAGTAATTGTTTAAGATTATCATGTGTTAGCACAGTAATTTTTATCAAATATTATATTGGATTTCTTGTTTGCTGGATTAGCTGGATAGGGCTAGCAATTATTGACTGATCAACCTTTCCCACTCAAGTTGTTTGAGTTGGATTCTGTGCTTGGGTGTGATGGGCTGGATTTATTAGAAGATGTGTCTGGATAAGTTCCCAAGTTCACTAACCCATCTATACTCTATTGGTTCCTATTAGAGCACTCTTATTTTAAGCATTTTTATGACTGTTTTGGTAATTAGGTCATTAGGTTTTCCTAAATTTATTAATTGATTGGTGGATTTCCAAATATGGGTCAAGTAAGTTTGACTGAGTATTGAAATTCAGGGTATGGCCTCCGACTCAACCTAAACATGAGCAATTTCTGACCTTTATTAAATATATTCTTATATTGTAGGCTTTTTAGCAACCATCATATTATCAGCCCTCAGGTCTAGAATAGTACCGGTGATCTGAACTCGGATTCTTATCAGTTGTTCTTAAGTCATACTGTGTCATGCCTTTTGTCTTTATCAGTTGTTATGAGGATAGGAGTTACCCTTTTTACTCTCTTGTTGAAGTGTATTACAAGTTTGTTTGACCTAAAATTATGAGAAATAACTTTGATCCTTTGTAATTGTTTTCAATTTTTCATATTAGACCTTGCTTTTTATAAATTTTATTTCCTTTACTTTCTTTCCTCTCTTTAAGATCAAGGGAGAAAGACCATAATAAATATAGAATATATTTTGTATTGTAGAAACTAATATATACAAAGTTTTTGTTTTACTCCAGTGGTCCATGGTTATTGTTTGTTTCTGAAAGCGGTTATGGAAAGCGGGTTCCCTTAAGCAGCTTCAGACAGTTGCCTTTGAACAGAGTTGGTTTAATAGGTTATAAGGTATGATGGATATTGCATCTTACTTAATCTTTATCTCAAGTGTGTAGTTGTTTTGCCCAAGTTTTTTTCTTTATCATGAGATTTTGTACTTTCTTTGATTTCCAGTTTTCTTCTGAGGATCGATTAGCAGCAGTCTTTGTAGTTGGTTTTTCATTGGCAGGTAATATTGTGTTAGGCGAGTTATAGTTAAAAGGTTTCATTTGATCAATTTACGAAATTATCATATTTGATCAATTTACGAAATTATCATAATGATGTTTCAATTTGCCATTTTCTATCTCTCCCTCTCTGCAGAAGATGGTGAAAGTGATGAGCAAGTGGTTCTAGTGAGCCAAAGTGGTACTGTTAATAGAATTAAAGTTCGGGATATTTCAATACAGTCTCGTTATGCCAGGTATAAATGTCCTGTTGTGTTCGCCTTTCTGCATTTTATGGTACAAAAATTGGCTTTATGTTGCTTTTAGCTACTAAACAGATACTCGATACAATATCATTTGTCAAGTCATGTATAAGATGGCAATGAACATGTGATTGAATCTGTCTAATTAATAGTTAGAATCCATAAACTTTTATCAGCTTTTTATTTATTCAGTTTTTTTGTTGTTATTTTTGTTGTGGTTTTCAGGGGTGTTATTCTGATGCGGTTGGAGTATGCCGGAAAGATTCAATCAGCTTCCTTGATATCTGCCACAGAACCTGAACCTGAACTTGAACTGCTTCCTGGTGCACAATCACCCTTAGCAACAGAGCCTGGAAATGTTTCAGTGGTGGCGTAGAGATTTCAAGCATACCTCAAAATTGTATTGTATATATGTGTATGCTATGCGATGAACCTGTTTAAATTATATTTGAATCATGTGTATTTTTTGTTACAATGTTTCTGCAGTTTCACAGATATTACCAAGGCTTTGAAATGATAAGATTTGAGCTATTTGTGACGAGGTAGCTGCACCCTGTTGGAACCAAATTGAATTTTTTTTAATTTAAAACCAAAAATTGAGTTGTGTCAAACAACCCTTTAATTAGGTTTAGAAGGTAGAGCTTAGGCGTGTCGGGCAAGCTGAACTGCTCGTGAGTAGTTTGGGTTTGGGTCTACATTTTCGAGTTCGAGCAACTCGAGTGTCGAGTAGCTCGAGTTTGGCTCGAGCAGTTCGCAAGCTTATTTGAGCTCGACAGGGGATATATGCAAGTTTTGTAACTATTAAAGGGTATACGTAATTTACCATTATGCCTTCTAAATTATGTCAAAGTGATATTTACATTTTACATCCCATTTCAATTCGAGAAGTGAAACCCTAAATTCTAATTCTCTTCGAAGTTGCTACACCATATTCACTCTATCCTCCCTCCCCTGTTGTTAAAAAAAAATGACACATGTCAACCTTAGACTCCATGTTAGCCATTCTTCTATATCTCTCATGATTGTAATGATTGGGGTTGGCTTTGCTCGTTGGTTTTATTGCGTGAGCCTCTAGATGCCTCCAAGCAAGCAAAGGTTTTCGGGGTGATCGTCGCGCATCCTTTTGGTGCTCGGTGACAATGGCAGTGTCTCAAAACAAAGGGGCCACCTAATCAAAAGGTACAACGGCTTGAGCAACAAAACTTAACATAAAAGTAGCCACTGGAGCCATTCTAGAAAGGGAGAAATTAGCACTACTCGGTGAAATAGTTTCTTTTAGAAGCAATTTCGAACCATCTGCTAGGGTTTGTAACAATCCAAACGATCCCGCTACATCAAGACTCTTTTATGTTGCACAGAAGCTATTATTTTCTATTTAGCTAGCAATTTTTATCCCATTATGCAAACATCTCCCCACCTCTTCTTTCCTGGCGGTTCCTCTTCCTTTCAAGTGAAAAGAGTGACTCCTAGCTCTATAAAGACAACAGTATTGCATCAGCACTAGTGTAAATCACACCAACCTGAATATGGCAAGAGTGCCTTGACCATTCCAGATGGTTAGACCAAGACTCCCTTTCCATTAGTAAACGGCTAAGAGGAAGTAATAGTGCTATGGTTAGGGATGAGAAGCGAGTCGAGCAGTTCGCGAGCTACTCGAGCTCAGCTCGTGAAAAGCTCAAGCTCAACTTGATTGACTTCGAGTCGAGCTCGAGCTCGTGTCATTTAAGGGATCGAGCCAAGTTTGATCAGGGTGAAGCTCGACTCAATATGCTCGTGAGCCTCATTGTGCTTGAAGGGCCAAATTGTAAGTTTTGTAACTTTTTTTTTATTTTCAAGTTTTTAAAATGACAAACAGCCCCCTTCTTACAATAAACTCGAAGCTCAAGCTCGTTCAAGCTCGAGTATCCACCCATACTCACGAGCTTGAGCTCTAGCCGAAGTATTCAAGCTCGAACGAGCTCGGCTCGACACTGTTCATCACAAACCAAGCTCGAGTGTCTAGATACTCGGCTCGGCTCCCCTAGCTATGGTAGTGATCACACAACACAGACTTTTTTTTTTTTGAAAATCTCTCAATTTTATTGGGGCTTTTGATTGATGATTATTGATTGTAGTGTTGTGGATTGTTATGTGCGCTATAGTGGGTGGATGTTGACCATTTTTTGGGTTGTTAAGTAGGTAGAAGGGAGTGTGGTGGGCTGCTAGGCATGAGTAGGGATGAGAAGCGAGTTGAGCAGTTCGCGAGCTACTCGAGCTCGGCTCTTGAAAAGCTCGAACTCAACACGAAGTCAATCGACCTCGAGCTCGAGTGGCTCCTTTAAGGGGTCAAGCCAAGTTCAATCAGGGCAAAGCTCGGCTCGATAAGCTCGCGAGCCTCATCGCATTCAGAGGGCCAAATTGCAAGTTTTGTAATTTTTTTATTTTATTTTCAAGTTTTTAAAGTGACAAACAGCCCCTTCTCATAATAAACTCGAAGCTCGAGCTCGAGTACAAACAGCCTCCTTCTCATAATAAACTCGAAGCTCGAGCTCGATTACTTGAGCTTGAGCACGAGCTCGAGTACCCACCCATACGCATGAGCTCAGGCTCGAGAGCCCAAGTATTCAACCTCGAACTCGCTTAACTCGAACTCGACACTATTCATCACAAACCGAGCTCGAGTGTCCAAATACTCAGCTCGTATACACCCCTAGGCATGAGGAAAGGGTGGGGTGGCTTTGGTGGGCATGATAAAAGTGTTATGGATATGTTTTGGTCAAATGGTGGTTTTGTGATAATGGTGGCAATGACGGTGAGAAATTGATGGTGAAAGTGGTTGAGCCAGGTGATTCTAATCGAGCTCGAGCTCGATTAGGTCATAATTGGGTTGAGCCTGACTCGAGCTCGAGCCCCCATATTTCTATCGAGCTCAAGCTCGACTAAGTTGTAATTTAGTCAAGCCCGAGTTGAGCTCAAGCCCCCATATTTCTATCAAGCTTGACTAAGTCGTAATCGAGCCAAGCCCGAGTTGAGCTCAAGCCCCATATTTCTATTGAATCGAGCTCTAACTATTCAAGCCGAGTCAAGCTCGAGCTTGAGCTTCTCAATACTCGGCTCAACTTGGCTCAATTACACCTCTAGTAGAGATTTCTTTTTTTTTTTTTTTTTTTTAAAAAATCAAATTATATACATAAGATTTGAGAATGGTTAAAAAAATTTAAAAAAAAAAAAAAACTGTATAATTTTTCTAAAATGAAAATAGATAATTTATTACATAATTATTAATTTTTTCATGAATGTTCTTAATGTTTTAGAAATAAAAGTTAGGTATAAAAAATTAAAATAAATTAACTGAAAAATGTTTTCTAGACGCTATTTTCACCAATTAATCTTAAAAAAAAATTGATTCATTTTAGTTGGTTTTTTTCCTAATTTAATACTTTCTAATTTTCTAGTTGTAATAGAGAAAACAAAATTGCAAAAAGCATACGAGAAATTGAAAATGAAAACATATGCCGAACATATTGTTACTTTTTACAAGGACTAAAAAGAAAATTAACACAAAAAATGAGTTGATAAAAGAACGGCCCAAAAAGAATTTAATGGAAAAATAATGAGTTAACTAAATGTTCCCATCCAAAAAATGGCCCATTGACAAATTCATACCCGCCCACATTTTAAATACCCTTTTAGTACTCAAAACACAATTTTGTTAATAATTTTCATTGTGGGTAAGGGCAGAAATGTCAAAAGTTAGTTATTAGTGAGGACAGATTGGTCAATAAACATTTGGTCGTCAGAGTAGAGAAAAGAAAAGGGACAGCGCATGTTAGCAAGAGATGGTGCACGTTAGTAGCATCGTAGCCGATGGTTTTTGCCATTTTTGGATAGATCTCAGTGTCCAAAATCACTTTCGAGACCATCCACAGAATCCCCATCACCTCCTCTACAAAGCCCAAGCTTCAATTTGCTGCCATCACTCACCATTTCCCACCACACTCTCCATTCACAAAGCCGACTCTTCAAGCCAGATTTTCGACCGTTTCTTGTGACAGAAATCCACCTTAAAACTCACTGCCTCCTCCATCCTCTTCCTTGAGCCTCTCTCACCCTTAATCCATTCACCTCGAGCTCGGCGCAATTGCCAATCGTCGAAAATCACCGCCTAAGTTTTTGCACGATTTCCTATCTTTTCAACCTTTTTCTGGCCAATTCAGTCACCCAAAATGCCCCCGCCACCACCGTTCAACTCCCCACTGTCCGATCTTCAAAACCCACCCCTTTCCTAACCCTAGTGCTCCCCATTTGTCACCCGTGTCTAGCTCTTTTTGCCGTGGATAGTTGCAATTTACTGTGGTTTCCTTTGCAAATCGTTAGGTTTTTGGTACTCGATTAGTGGGTTTTTATTGGTTGTGTTGTGTTTTTTTGGGGCCACCATTCTCTTCCATATCACTCCAACATCGTTGCCCCAAAGCTGCTCACCACATATTCGATTTGTTGCTACACCCAACTCCCAGCATCCAACCGGTGGCAATTGCCAGCAATGGAAGAGGCTAAGAAGAGAAGAAAAAAGAAGGATTTTTTTTTTCGTAAATCACTATATTTCCCACCCAAAACATAATATTTGGGTACTGAAAGGGTATTTAAAAAGTTGGCAAGTATGAATTTGTCAATGTTCCATTTTTTGGGTGGGAACATGTCGTTAACTCTAATAATGACAAATCTTAAACGAAAAATACTACACTTATAAAGTCTTCATACAAAGATGTATATACAAAATAATGTGTCATACTATGATTGAGAGAGTAAATTTGTAAAGTCAATTAATTTAATTAAATAAAGATAAATGATATATCAATTAAAGAGAAATGTCACATCACTTTGTATACATAACTTTGTAGAGTTAATTACACTGACCTCCCTTAAGGTTTCAACATTTCCAAGCACGTAGAAAAGATAATTAGGTTAACACAAACACCTAATAGACATACAAAGTTTAATCCTTTGCAAGTGCACAAGTCGCAATCGCAACATAGTGAACGAATAAGGGTCGATCCCACAGAAACTGGAGATGCTCTCGCGATCCAAGTAACTATGCTTTGATGAATCAAAACTACAAGAATTGAAATAAAGAAAACATATAAACGACATTAAAGTAAATCTAAATCTAACTATCTACAAAGAATCCTAGGGCTCTAACTCCATTATAATTATCAATCTACGTGTTCATCATCAAACTATCGTTCTCCCCACTCCATTCTAGGGTTCGTACATCATCGGGTTCAACCTAATACTTTCATCATTCAAACTAGCTAGTGGCATGTAACCTGGTCTAAACAACGAAGAAACCAATTCGCATAGACACAAATCATCCATTCACAGAGCTAATCAAAATAGGCATGACGTCTCTCGTTTCTAAGGTATTACCGCGGCCATTCAGAATAACCTAGTCTTTCCATCAACTAAACTAGCCAGTGGCCTGTAGTCTAGTCTTATAACAATAACCCATTAAGCACAAGACGATCTTAAAGACAATAACCAATCTATACTCGGGTAAGGCTACAAA